CCCCCTGCTCGAGCCCCCCGCCCCTGCTCCCCTGCCCCCACTACGCGCCCCCCTAGCGCCGCCCAGGGACCAGCCCCGCCTGCCAGGGGAGAGCGCCCCCTGCTGAGCCCCCCACCCTGCTCCTTGCCCCACACTGCCCCCGAGCGCCGCTCTGGGACCAGGCATACCCGCCAAGGGAGAACGCCCCCTGCTGAGCCCCCCGCCCCACTCCCTGCCCCACAGCGCACTCTTGCACCCTACCTGGTACAGCTGGCCCATGGTGGCGCTGGTTGGGGGGATGACATTGTTGACGAAGAAGAACAAGGCATCCTCGGCCCTTAGGTGGATTCGCTTCCGGATCAGGAAGTAGAACTGTCCGACTGGGGATGGGGAAAGGTGGGGGATCAGGATGGGAGAGTGGGGGCACCCTCCCCAATACCCTCCCACAACCATACACTCCACCCCCCACTCTCCTCCCCCCTCCAAGGGCCCTTCTGGGACATCCCTTCCCCCCCCCCGCCCCCACCACAGCACTGAGTTGCGGGGATTCCCCCTATGGGGCACACCCTGGTTTATCTAGCCCCACTTCCAGCCGTTGGAGAGGCTACCCAGTACCCCTCCTCCACGCCCCCCAAAAACCCAACCTGTCCCTTCAAATCACACCCCCTTCATCTGCCCACCCCCACTGAGACCACCTCGGCTTCCCCCTCCATCTGCTCCCCTCATTGAGCCCCATGATGCCAGTTCCCAGATACAGCCCCCCAAGAGCCCCCTTCCCCCCGCTGGATCTGCCCCCCACCCCCGTGACTCTCCCAGCAGCACGGTGCCCCCTGGGGGGGTGCGGCAGCACTGACCGGTGAGGTCTGATGGGACCAGGTATTTCTTCTTGTCCAGGTCTCCTATCCGGGCTTTGGGGGCTTTCTCCACAATCACCTGCGGGGGAGGGAGGAGACACGGGGATCAGCTGGGTGCCCCCCCAGGAACTTGGGGGGCTGGAAGTACAGCCCCATGGGGGGGGCAGGGTGGAATAGCTCAAGCCAGGGGGCAGTGGGAGGGGCTGGGATGGATCTGCCCAGCAGTCCAACCCGAACACCCCCACAAAACAAACACACACTGTGGTCCAACCTGACCACCCCCCCAAACACACACACACTGTGGTCCAACCCGCCCCCAGAGAAGGTCCCAGCAGGGGAGGGCAGGGCCAGGAGGAAGACAGAGAAGGGGAGGGCAGGGGGCAGCGAAGGTCCTGGCAAGGGAGGGCAGGGGGGAGGGCAGGAAGGACCCGGCAGGGGAGGGCAGGAGGAAGGCAGGGAAAGTCCAGGCAGGGGAGGGCAGGGGACAGGAGGAAGGCAGGGAAGGTCCCGGCAGGGGGCAGGAGGAAGGCAGGGAAAGGTCCCGGCAGGAGAAGGCAGGGGGCAGGAGGAGGGCAGGGGGCAGGGAAGGTCCTGGCAGGGGAGGGCAGGGGGAAGGCAGGTAAAGGTCCCGGTAGGGGAGGGCAGGGGCAAGAGTAAAGCAGGAACAGTCCCGGCAGGGGGCAGGAGGGAGGCCGGGAAGGTCCCAGCAGGGGAGGGCAGGGGGATGGCAGGAAAGGTCCCCGGCAGGGAAG